ATACGATCAAATAGTGTAGACTTCCTTCCGTACAAAAGAACATTAATTGGAACCTGTTTTTCAACCAAAAAGCGGTTGTCAGGTAACATTAGTAGAATGGCTCCGTTTCACATTTTGACATCATTTTGCGGTATTTCGAAACAGAAGCTCATACGAAAGCAAAGGAGGAATACAGTTACTCAAAATCAAATGATATGACTATATGTGCTGAAAACAAGTCCACAGAATCAAACATTCGGCAGTGGAAACGAGATACTTCTGCGGCAAAACGAGCAGCACGAGAAGTACGAAAGTTGTTCTTATGCGTTTTGACCGAAACGTGATATATGAACGTAAAGGAAAAAGTCAACCCTGAAGCAGCTGTGCTTTCAGAAAATTAATTGGGCTTGGGATAGAATAAAAGAGAATAGATAATTGCTAGCTTATAAAAGTACATCGTATTTCACAGAGCAAAACTTCAATCAAAGAGCAAAAGTGATTGGCACAAATAAAAATCAGCAGGAGTTACAACTCCCAGATATCACAAGCTCCGAGACAACAATGACTTGCTTCATTTTCTCGCCATTCCTGTCGTGACTCAAGATTTTCCTAGCGAATCTACGTTGCCCCCCAGAATGATCTCGCGAAATAAAAAAGAAGATTTTCGCTTTATCGTGTCCCAGGGTGACTGGTCGATTGTTTTCGCAAAACATGTGCGTTCTATGCAGCGTGAAAAAGTTGGGGACTTATAATGTATTGGACTGCCTTTTGATTTAGTCAAAGCGCAGAAACAAAAAATTGAAGATGTTTTTGAGCTTGATCATGGGGCAAGACATTTTTGCCCACCCTGGATTCTAGTCAGGTGGCAGTTTGAAAAATTTCGACTTCTCCCCTTCTGTTGCAAATAATGCCAAATTTGATTTGATTTTCACTTTTGATTGGTAACAGAATCAGCTTCCAGCACAGCTAAGGGGGAGAAATAAGGCCCACATTTACTCAATTATAATCGTTGCCTAGTTAGGGTTCAGGTGAAATGAGAAAAATGAAGAAAACTGTTGTATTCGGTTGCTGCATAAGTTCTGTCCAATTTTTTTTGCCTTATGTTTGAAGCAGCTGTTCTAAGAAAATTTCAAATCTAATGCAGTGCTGTTAGTATTTTTAGAAAGTGCTTTCCCTGCTCTTTCTAACGCGTATCAGATTTCAATAAATTTCTTATTGTACGGAGATTTCAGGCCTAAAACCTCTAAGTGGGCGAGATAAGTTTTCACCCTAGAAATATGTTCTTGCAAGGAAATCTCCATAATGCGCCCTTCAAATCAAGTTCTTTCATTGGCTGCGGAATAAGGGCGTAGAAGGCTAGTATATGCAGAAGTCCGGTTCCATGAAGAAAACGTCTTGCTACTAAAATCTATTGTCGAACATTAATTTTTTGTATAGATGTTTAACAAGCAATAACTCTCTGCGAATAGAAGTAATCGATAAGCTCAAGGTTGGAGGTGCTACGGCAAAGCAAGAGCTAGCAGGGCCCAGCCACCAGTTCCTTTTCGGCGCTCAAGTCAGTTGTAAAATTTTCGTAATTCGTAAATAGGCATGCACACATGTGCTGAAGCGAGGTCAAAAAGTGGCTTCTTTTTTGCTCGATTAAAAAAATCTCTCGGCAGCACAGACCTTATGGGCTCTTCCATGTTGCATAATAATCTACAAAAATTTCTCTATCTATCCATTGTTAGAAAAGATGACTATCAATTTTGATAAGGGAGCGTTACCATGTCAAAAAAGACAGGTTTGAAGAAAAACGCTGTAGAGTTTTTGCATTCTTGCCTCTTCCTTAACAAGGATTTGTGCAAATCTCGATATGCAGCTAATAGCGAAGGAACTGCTCAACACAAAGAATCTAAGATCTTAGAAAATAGTTGACTTTGAATGAAGTTATGACATTTTGAACTCAAAAAAATTTAAATCGGACAGAACTTATGCAGCAACCTAAACGAACAAAGGGCAAAATACAAATTTCTGTTATCAGAATTTGGCTTTCATAGAGATATAACAGAGAGCTTGCTTTGATATACGAGAACATATATGTGTCACGAGACGATAGCTGGTGAAGATAGCCACAAAAACACAAAGTCATCGAAGCCCAAATATCAACAATACAATGTATCTGAAGAATATTTACTATTTAAATGAAGGAATCAGTTGTTGCGTCTAGTCTAAATATAACTTGAAGTCAACACCGTAGTGAAAGCCCCATGTCAAATATTGTGAACGCCAAATTTTCAATAACAGAAGCAAGGATTTTATCATAATACGAAAGACACATGATAGATGCGATATTACTGAGTCCATAAAAAGCTCTATGATTTGATTTTTCTAATGCTGCGGAAAAATCTTATGGCTGCTCTTATATTTTACCGTGTCGTTCGACATCGCATCACAAGTCATTGTGGCCCATAAAATGACCATTTTTCGAAAGTAAGCATTTGATTAGAACAACTACTCAGACAATCGCCGAGGGCAGGCGGGCACCGGAAAAATAGATTGCTGATCTCTCGCACCCCGCTCGCGGATTTTTTGGAAAGCAATCAGGACTTTTCGGAAGACCGCTTGCTGAGTTCTCGATTCCTCAGAGATTCAGCAATAGATCTGCAAAAGATAAGAGCGAAAAAAATTCAACAGGCGGTCTCTCAAAAATCCGCTGACTCAGCAGGCGGTCTTCCGAAAAGTCCTGCTTGCTTTGCAAAAAATCCGCGAGCGGGGTGCGAGAGATCAGCAATCTATTTTTCCGGTTCCCGCCTGCCCCCAGTGATTGTCTGAGTAACTATTATTCTGCTCCGCGGTCAAACCTGTCTGTACAATCTGCCCCAATCGGGATCAGGCCGAATCGTCGGCTGAATTTGCGCGCTCGCAGTACTAGGGGTTTGCGCTGCATATGCGCGCTGTCGCAGAGAGCGAAGAGATTGAGGAGAGAGCAGACTAGCTAGACGCAGAAGTGGCGCGAAACCCTCGCGACGCGCACTCCCGCCAGGCCAATTTTGGCCTGGTTAGGATTGGGGCAGACTGTAGTTTTGAAGCACCTTGAATACTTTACTCAAATCTCTTACATACATATGGTTTAATGCTAATCACTATTAATTTAAAGATTCAGAAAGACTAATTTTCACATCGAAGTCAAATATGCAAGAAGTCTTTATGAATATCGGTCCACTGCAAAAATAAAGGTATAATTATGCACTAAAGACGAGAAATGTGACAGCGAAATCGCAAACACAGATGCTGGCGGTGATATGCAATGTTTTCTATTCAACGATACGCATTCCAAGCTCAAAACAAAATCAACAGAAATTTGATATCTGGAAATAACTTCGAATGAAATTTATGTCTTAACGTTGAAACATCTGTTAGGACTAGATAAGCCATGATCCCGGGACAATCTCCAAAGAATTGACAAAAATGACCATACGAAATAGAGGGCGTTTTATCAGAAAACGGAAATATGGATACATCGTGTTTTAAGCTCTCAAATGGTGGTATTGCTGTACCGCTTGTGCTAGATCATTATTGAAAACTCACAGTTTGACATCTCGCTAATAACTTCAAAAATCGATTTTCAACAAATGCCTTTCGGCATGCTTACTTGGTCCATTTCAGTTACATATATTCACATTATGACTCGCTTTTAATACCAGCCCTCGTTCACTGTCGAAACCACTAAGTCGGTAAACCGATTCGATTGGTAATATTTTACGATCTATATGCTTTTCTGCCTGCGCTCGTTCATTCTTAGGCTTCTCACTCGAAGCGCGAAAGTCAACAAATGTTTGTTCTCACGTAGCAATTCACGAGCTTTGACTGCGGTGTATGTAGCTGAAGTTCTGGCAGAGATTTCCAAGTTGTGAAATAGTTCGACGTTTCTCAACTTTACATCTAACTAAAGCAGATAAGGACATATCCGCTGCAGCGCTGTAGGAATCGTTTTCCGCATTCGGAATCGGCGATCGCGTTGTGCACAGCAGAGCACAGCATAATAAGTTTTCTTGCTGTGAAAAATTCTTGTTACTTGATCAGGATTGGTGGAGGGAAATTTGCACGTTACATCGAACCTGAAATGTGCAATCTCAATCAAATATGGAAGAAGATAGGATTGCAAACAAATCGGAAAAGACTTAGTTAATGGAAACGCCTGTAAAGCGGTGCAAGTCATTGGTAGCTGTAGATGGGATCATGTGCAAACACTTCAAGAACCTTTTCCAGCAAAGAAACCCACTAGCACACGTTCGATGCATAGAGTATGATAAAGCACATCCATTTTATCTAGAAGTTTTGTTAGGATGTTTTGCATCAGTTTTAGGTGAAGAAATTTGGTCTGGTCGAGAGAGTTAGCAGATAATTTTTGAAAATGCAAAACACAATCCCACCTTGTGTTTTTTCAGGAAGTAAATAACCAGGTTACAGCCCCTGATGAGCTCTGTATGATAGCATGCTTATTTGTTTGGATTACTTGTGTTTTCGCTGAAAAAAAAAGAACCCCGAAGGAAACTTTTGCATTCGAAGAATTGTATCCGCGACTTTGTGACGCGGCTCTTTTTGGACTTTTTTGGTAAAAGATTTCTGACTTTTTTAGAATCCATGTTTTTGAGAAAGCGTAAAATGTGAACTGTAGCTCTTGAAGAGCTCTATCATCTCATACAATCTGATCATTTTTTCATCCTTGTTTTCCATCTGAAAATGAACGACGAAGAAAGGAGGTCCGCTTGTCCGCAATTTTTTGGCGGTCAATGTATGTGGAGAACAATTGAGGGAAATACTCAGCATGAGAGAAATAGCAGCTATGCCTGCTCCTGAATCTCAGCCACCGAAAACAGTATTCTGAAGTTTATCCGACAGGTGCAGCACTAGTCGAACTTTGTCATATGGGTATAAGAAGAATGTTCTCTCCGTAAGCCAGCTGGATACGTTCCATGCAAACTATCGCAATAGGATTACTGCGTCTTATGAACACTATTGACAACGTATGAGCAGAAATGAAAAAGGCGTATAATGATAATATTTGTATATATAAGCAGCAACGCCTAGTAGAGTTTATTTTACTCGTTCAACACACTACTCGATCCGCTAAACTGCTGAGGCCTTTGTTCACTTTTAGAATCGGAAGAGCTACTTCAAGTCTAGTACGAATCTACTACTAACGCCTACATGTTGCATGCAGTGATAGATTCAGATTGTAATGCAGTCCTCTAACGCAACAACTCGGAGCAGAATAAAGGGTGCAAGGTATTGCTTCTACCCTTTCTGAATCCAGCAAATGCAAAAATCTTTTAGGCGACAATCACGTGGGTCTTCGCGTTCGGGGTCAACCGAACGTAAGAACAGGAGAGGAGGTCGCGTAAGTTTTGGTCTGAGTTTGTCCAGCGCATTTAATAAAGCCACAAAAACCATCAATGTTGAGAGTTTACACACGATTGCGAAACGCATCTTTTCAAGGATGAATCGCAAATCACTTGTCACCTGTATCACCTGAATCCCCGTTGATAGTCGTGTTGCACGAGTGGATAACGGTGCTGCTTCCATTCGTCCCTGTCTCGGGCGATTGTTGAAATGTTTAGGTATAGCATTGGGAACACGTGGAAACTCTGAGGGACTTCACTGAAGGGCTTTAGCATTTGTGACCATAGCGTCGGCAGTCTTCCTCGTTCGCGTTTGACTTTCAGTGGTATCCAATCTGTTACAGCACTTGTCCACCGGTGGTCGAAACGCATTAAATGCCTGGCACATCTTAGTTTTATCTTGTTCGCCTTGGCATATGTGGTAGCGTCCTGGATCTTTGTTCGTTAAGGTCCCGGACAGACTTCACGCGATTTGATCGTCGCGACTGAATCGCGACGAGACAACGGTTACAACATCATTCCATGCCGATCAACTTGCATTTCGGTTGTGATACTTTTCCAGCCCGAAATTTTTGAATGTGAAATGAAAATGAATGGAAATGTCGGCGATTGAGTCGCGACGGTCAAATCGCGTGAAGTCTGTCCGGGGCCTAAGGTGAACTCCGTATTCTATTCCGCAGCAAGAGTCGGTTCACTCCTAGCAACAGCAGCTCGCTGAATCTAACCGCTGTTCATTCTGCTTCCTCATTGTCCATGTTCTTGAAGCGCACGCCAAAGCAAAAAACCATCGAGTCAAAGAAATAGGCGCGGAGGATGTTCTTGGCGTTCTTCACTACGCCCTCAAATGTCTTATGTGCTCCTCCCCATGCTGCTCGTTTCCTCTGCTCAGTTCCAGTGCTAAGTCATTCATCATGTTGAGTTCACGACCAAGTTAGGTGTAGCTTGAGCGTGGGTGATGTTATTTCCATTGAGCATAGAAGGAGCATCAGGCATCTTTCGTTTTCCATGAACATCGTACTCGTTAGGTTCAGCTGTAGACCGATCTTTCCATACATGTCGTCGAACTGTGCAGCATTCGTTTCGCTTGCGTGATGCTCGGCATTATTGATATGAAGTCAACAACAAAGCGATGGTGATGTAGTTGCCGGCCGTCGGCACTCTCATGTCGTCCCTTTCCAGCTTACGCTTGACGTTCTCTAAAGCAGCACTGAATATCACCTTGTCGTACGCATCTCTTAGGTCGACGATGATGTAACGTATACTTCTTCCAGCCTCCGCGGCGTCAAGACTGCTACTTTTTGAAGCCTTCTTTTATCGCTTCTCTGTGAAATAAGTTGTGTTCTGTGCACTGTACTCGTTAGGGCCACGTGAGTCTTCTGCTTGATCTTATCAATCCCATCAGGCAAAAAACTCGCGTTCACGCATTAAAGGCAGTGTCCGGGCAAAAACTCGATTTTGGGATTTTGTGCTTATACGGGCCCATTCGCCATGTGATTCCAAAAATCCACACTGGAAAGCGCGAAAACGGCAAAAACGGACTCTAGTGCAGGAGGGGAACAGCAAGTGGGCGGAGTCCTCCCCACCAGATGTGCGATAGTGGGAGCCGATTCTCCCCCTACCTTCACTTTTGAGCTGGTACAGGGTGACCACCTTCACTTTTGGAATAAAAAATTTTTCGCTGGACGATAAAGAAGGAAAATAAGCAAAACAAACGCAAAAAGATTATTGAAAGCATATATTTATGTATACGGCAGCATATATATTCAAAATAAACGTGCTCAGTAAATGGTGTATTTGGAAGTAAAACTTAGCGAAACTGTACGGATTTTATTAAGTGAATTTTGTCATAACATACTGCGAAGGAAGTAGGTCGATCCAGGCAGTAAGAGCCGAGAACCAGAATTTTGAATGTTTAAATAGTGAAAAATCATGCGAAATTTCCACTGTTATAAATCTGTTGTTTGAAGGTGTCAGCAGTTGCGACTTCATAGGTTTTGTAGAATAAGGTTTGCCTTATCAGGGTATATCTTAGCTGTTCCGATCCATTGAAACACCTCCGAGATCCAGAGTCTTGAAAAAGCAGGTAAACAAGCGCTTTTTGAAATTCTACAGCTCATAACTTCTTCAGAACTGCATAAATCACTTTGCGACTTCATGGGTTAGATTCCTCTCATCAAGAGCTTTCAGATGGTATATAAAATGTGGGGGTATAAAGCCTCCTACGAATTATGCCCGTGGGGGGAGCCTTTTCATACCAGAGTCTCCCCCTTCAATACATTGAAGTGGGCTAGGGGGAGACTCTGGTATGAAAAGGCTCCCCCCACGGGCATAATTCGTAGGAGGCTTTATATCCCCACATATTATATACCATCTGAAAGCTCTTGATGAGAGGAATCTAACCCATGAAGTCGCAAAGTGATTTATGCAGTTCTGAAGAAGTTATGAGCTGTTGAATTTCAAAAAGCGCTTTTTCACCTGCTTTTTCAAGACTCTCGATCTCGGTACTGTTTCAGTGAATCGGTACGACTAAAATACATTCAGATAAGGCAAACCTTACTCTACAAAACCTATGAAGTCGCAACGTCACACACTTTCATTTACAAGATTTAGATGGGTTTAACTATCAACTGTCAAAAAACACGCAAAAATGGCGCAAATTTTTAGAACTCTGGTTTTCAATAACTCTCTTTCCTAATCGACTCGATTCCTCCACTGTGTGATAGAGCACCATTTACTCTTCAAAACCTATAAAATCGCAACTGCTGACATCTTCAAACAACAGATTTATAACAGTGGAAATTTCCCAAGATTTTTCACTATTTAAAATATTCAAAATTCTGGTTCTCGGCCGTTACTGCCTAGATCGACCTACTTCCTTCGCAGTATGTTATGACAAAATTTACTCAATAAAATCCGTACAGTCCTACAAACTTTTACTTTCAAATACACCATTTAATAAACACGTCTATTTTAAATTTTTATAAATAAAATTTATAAATATTTTTGATATTCATCGTATCTGTGGCCCTAAAGAGGGCCGTTGGGTCACAGTTCGACCTAGAAAGATAGCTCTGTTCGTCTGTTTTACCCCCCCCCCCGTCGACTTTTTCAGGAGGTGAGTGTCCGACACTACCACCTTCACTTTTGGCCGGCCAATGGTAGCTGGAACCACCTTCACTTTTGGTGGGCCCGGCTCCCCCCATCGCACCTCTGCTCCCCACTGTAAATTTACGCTCCCAGCTTCCGAAGCGGTCCTCTCGATTCCGCTAGCCGTCTCAGCATCGCTACCGGCCAACTGCTAAAGACTGACTTGAAAGCGGAAGCGAGAAGATTGCTCTAGAAGCTGGGAACGTGAATCCATAGTGGGGAGGACCCCGCCCACCTGCTGATTTCCCTCCTGTGTTAGAGCCGTTTTTCGCCGTTTCGCCTCCAGCGTGGATTTTCGGATTCAGCATAGCGAATAGACCCTGGTAAGCACAAAATCTCAAAATCGGATTTTTGCCCGGACACTGCCTTTAATTCTTGACTCACGCAAATGCTGACGTTACAGCGATGTAACTTATTCCCAATAATCCTTAGCAAATCAAATTCACTTCTCTTATCTTTATATAAGTCCGCATTTGAGCAGAAAAAAATGACTGTTTTTGCAAGGATCGGTAGGTGTCGCTGGTTCACTAGAAAAACCTTTGGCATTTCTGTTTTTTATGTTGTTTGGACATATATTTGTACTTTGATATTGCTTACATTGTTTACGTTAGCTACAACCTTTGCAAATAGAAGACAAGAAATTTCTTGCGGAAATATCATGTGAGTGCAAAAAAAAGCAATTCACCAACAACATCATGCCATGCTTCAAATATACGTCAATCTTTATCGCTGATACACAGGTACATCTGACCTCGAGCGATGGACTTACAAGGGAAGGATAACTGGTGGCCGTGGCCTTTTGCAACTTGTTAGACATCAAAATGCTTGCCTTGAAATTCCGACCGCGAGACTATGTTCGTTTTCTGCGGAATGTTCCTTGAGAATAATATGCGCATAAAAGCTAACGCAAAAAATGTTCGTACCGACCAAGACTAAACCGGGATCCGCGCAATAATTGACAGCGCTAATCACTAGACCACTCGACACCTTTAGCAGGTATCAAATTACTCGTACTCTTGTGCAAACAAGTCAGATGCGAGAAGATACGGTTTCCGCGAAGAAAATCGTTCCGCAGATGAGGATCACGGTTCTAAGATGAGCGTTTCAAGCCGAATGTCGTACATATGTCACAAATCGAAAGGCCACGGTCACAAGTTTCCTCTCCCCGTTAGATGAATGTAAATATTGGGTTTCTCATGAGTTTTTTCAATTTTGACTTTCAAAGCAATAAGTCATACACTTCTCAGCTTTGATTGGGATGCAAAGTACCGTTCAATAGAGCAAAGCAAGCTCTACAAGATGGCTTGTAAGAGTTCGTATCAGCTTCAGCACATCACTGGTTAGAAGCTAAAATCTGAGAACCTTTGGATGCCCAAAAAATTGAAAATTTTCTATAACTTTTTCCTTAAAAAACTTACCAAATTCCAAATTCGCTCACGCATATACACTCCACGTGATACATTCATATGTGCCGTTGCTGCGTTTGTTTCTATGTTAGAAACAAGAAAACCAAAATTTTCAAGCTTCAAAAAAAGCTATGCTGCGCTGTTTCCACACAGGTAGATGTACTAGGCTGTTGCATAAGTTCTGTCCGATTTGAATTTTTGAGTTTAAAATGTCATAACTTCTTTCAGAGTCAACTTTTTTCAAAGGTCTTAGTTTCTATGTGTTGAGCAGTCCCTTGGCTAAAAAATGCATATTGAGATCTGCGCAAATCTTTGTTAAGGAAGAACCAAGAATGCAAAAACTTCGCAGCGTTTTTCTTCGAATCTGTCTTTTTTGACATGGTAACGCTCCCTTATGAAAATTGATAGGCATCTTTTCTAACAATGGATGGATAGAGAAATTTTCG